TTTGAAACGACCCCCCTTCATCCGAGAAACTGTTGGCTAATGCGAGTGCTCCATGTTTAAAATGACCCCCCCTCCATCCTTATATGTCTTGCAAGTTCCAATCTTCAGGGTCAGGAGTGGTGGGTTTGGGGTTTAGGGTTTCGGGTTTCGGGTTTCGGGTTTCATGTTTCGACGTTTCGGGGTTTCAGTGTTTGGAGGAGTTTCAGGAGTTTCAGGGGTTTCAGGGGTTCAGGGGTTCAGGGGTCGCCCTTGTGCGCATGCTGTTGCAATTATCTCTTGCAACGAATGGGACGAAGTGCTTGCGCGCGTCGTCGCGCGCGCATGTCGGAATCCTTTGCAAACTGTAGGTTTCGTATGGATTTCGAGCGTCCCGCGAATTACAGACAACATTTGGTTTCGGAACATCAGTTTTCAGAAAACCTGCGCTCTGGTTCTTGCGAATTTTCAGGTACCAGCGGGGTTCCAACCCGTTCATTATATTCTGCCAATCGGGCCTCCCGCGCCGCATGCCGAAGTCATTCAAGCTCCCTTGCGCGCGTTCTTGGGGGGGACGATTCGTATCGACTGGGCCACTCGCGCGTCGACCGCGCGCGCATGTCGAACCCCTTTCAAAACCTTCATCACCGACGCGGGGACGCCGTCATCGTCGCCGGCGTGATCATCATCGGCGCCGTCACTGGCCGTGTCGTTGTCGTTGTCATCATCGTCACCAGCATCGCTATTAGCAGCATCGAGTCCACCGATGTCGACGTTTCCATGATACCGCGCCAGCCCGGGTCACCGACTCGCACTGAAGTGCCCGCTGGGAAGAGTTCAGCGGTCAGCGCCACCGCGGTCGCGTCGGTCTCTCCCAACTAGCTGGCCGCTTTGCGCGCGAGCATGCGTGCTAGCGCGGCCGCGGCGATGCGCCAGCAAACGCCAAGCAGTCATCGCAGTCGCCGCCGCATGGGTTTTGCAAATCCAGTTGCGGGTGGGTGGGTGGGATGATTTCGCGAGCAGTGGGGTTGACAGCTTCAAGTTCGGCAGGGTGAGTTGCAGCACGGTTGTTGCACTACGTCGGTTTCGCCACAGACTGCGCGCCGCGCTTGCTGCATCACATCGCTTGCACGACATTCATTGCACAGCGTGGGATGCACGACGTATATTGTACCACGTATTTTGCACCACCGTCTGCACCACGTATGTTGTTCGTCAAATTCTGCAATGGTTCACTGCGCAACATACATCGCGCATTACCCATCGCACAACCTCGACTTCACCACGTGGACTGCACCATATACGTAGCTTGTCCCACACGGATTGCGCAGCGCATGCTATTGTTAGAAACACACTGTCTGGGGCCCGGGGCCCACCGTGGCTAACAGCACATGGATAAGGGATGGGGGATGATGTGGTATGGTGTTGAAGATGACGCTGATGATGGTAGTGTTGATGATGATGGTGAGGACGGTGGTGGTAATAATGATGATGGTGCTGATGATGAGTATAAACGGGGTGATGTTGATGATGCTGACGATGCTGCTGATGGCGATGATGAGGCTGCTGGTGATGCTGATGCTTATGATGCTGATGCGGATGATGAGGAGGAGGATGATGAAACGGAATTTGAACATGCCAAAAAGATTGTTTAACAGGATTTCGATTGTGATGATGATGCTGATGCTGATGATGCTGATGCTGATGATGCTGATGATGATGATGATGATGATGATGATGATGCTGGTGATGATGCTGTTGATGATGATTATGATGGTGGTGATGGTGATGATGGTGATGGTGATGGTGATGCTGGTGGTGGTGGTGGTGATGATGATGATGATGATGATCATCGGAGGTGAGGGGGTGAGATCGAAGTGGAACGGAGAGCCCTCCTACCGGGAAATCGATTTCGCTTCAAATGACTCCCTTCCGTGCGGCCGGGGGCCCGCGGTGTCCCGCCGGTGTCCCGCGGTGTCCCGCGGTGTCCCGCGGTGTCCCGCGGTGTCCCGCGGTGTCCCGCCGGTGTCCAGCGGTGGCCCGCGAGGATGATGATGATGAGATGATGATGATGATGATGATGATGATGATGATGATGATGATGATGATGATGATGATGATGATGATGATGGTGTCCCGATGAAGATGATGATGATGTTGATGATGGTGTCCATGATGATGATAGTGTCCCGATGATGAGGATGATGATGCTCATGATGATTTTGTTGATGATGATGACGATGATGGTGTCCCGATGATGATGATGATTCCGATGATGTTGGTGATGATGATGATGTTGATGGAAATGGTGTCCCGGTGGTGTCCCGATGATGATGCTGATGATGATGGTGATGATGATGATGATGGTGGTGATGCTGATGGTGTTCCGACGATGATAATGATGATAATGACGATGTTGATGATGATGTTGCTCATGATGATGATGGTGCCCCAATGATGATGATGATGTTGTTGCTGATGATGATGTCGATGATGATGATGCGATGATCATGATGATGATGGTGTCCCGAGGATGATGACGATGTTGATGATAATGTTGATGATGAGAACGATGGTGATCATGATGGTGTCCCGATTATGATGATGATTCTGATGATGCTGCTGATGATGATGACCATGACTGTGTCCCGATGATGATTGGTGATGATGATGTTGATGATGAGATGATGATGGTGATGATGATGATGATGATGATGTTGTCCCGATGATGATGCTGACGTTGATGATGATGATGTTTATGATGATGATGATGATGATGATGATGATGATGATGATGATGATGATGATGATGATGATGATGATGATGACGTTGATTGTGAGAGCGGTTGTGATATCGATAGTGAGATCGATATTGAGATCGAATGTGAGATCGATTGTGTGATCGATTGTGAGATCGATTGTGAGATCAATTGTGAGATCGATCGAATGAGATAGATCGAGTGAGATCGATTGTGAGATCGATCGAGTGATATCGATCGAGCGAGACCGATAGTGAGATCGATACTGAGATCGATAGTGAGACCGATCGAGTGAGACGTTGGTTCCCCCCCCGAACCTCCTTATCACCCGAAGGGTGGTCGTATAGGTAATTATGATGGTAATGATGGCTGTGACGCTGAGGAGGAGGACGCGGATCATCAGCAGGAGGACGAGGAGCAGGAGGAGCAGGAGGAGGATGAGGAGGCCCCGAAAGGTAAGCAAGGTAAGAATTCACGATCCTCCTGCGACGCTGGACCTCGGAGGCCCGCGCTTGGACGCGCCTGGTGAGCCCGGCGTCAACAGGATGCGGGGGGGGGACCGAAAGGATGTAGTAGTGGTCGGTTCGCGGGGGGGGTTTAGGGGGCCCAGGATCGCGGCATGGCAATGGCCAGCCCAGCCTGCGCGGACCTGGGGTGGCGCGTCCCCAACACATGGTGAGGCGTTGTGTGCTTCGAAGTGGCGGATTGGCGCGAGGGCGGTCCGAATCCGTTGTGATAGTGTCAGTCCCACAGATTCTTCGGATACCGCGCCCTGTTTCTCGTCGTCGTCGTCGTCGTCGTTCTCCTCCTCCTCCTCTTCCGCCTCCTCCTCTTCCTCCTCCTCCTGCTCCTCCTTCCCACACTCCTCGATGAATTAGTGCGCACCTAGCCTGCACTCGCAGAGGGCCCCCCCGCCCCCTCCACCGTGCTCCCCCCCACTCCCACCTGCTCCCTCCCAACTCTTCCTCCCTCCCTCCTCCCTCTTTCTCCTCACTTTCCTGTGGCTCCTCCTCCTCCTCCCCCTCCTCCTCCTCCTCCTCGTCCTCCTCCTCCCCCTCCTCCTCCTCCTCCTCCTCCTCCTCCTCCTCCTCCTCCTCCTCCTCCTCCTCCTCCTCCTCCTCCTCCTCCTCCTCCTCCTCCCCCCCCCCCTCCTCCTCTCAGTCCTCCTCCCTTTTTCCTTTTTTTCCTCCCCCCTTTCCTTCTCCCTTTCCTCCTCCCTCTCCTCGTCCTCTCCCTCCCCCCGTCCTCATCCCCTCACTCAAATAGGAGGGCCCGCCGTGGTTTGGTCTAAGCGCTAGCGTGTACTTGTATATTGTACGGAGAATATGAGCACTGCAATCAACATTTCATTGCCGCCATTGTCTCTCTCGTACAGCTTCCAACCACCGCAATTCTAGTTGGTCGCGAAGTTGGGAACGATCCGAGCTCGCGATCCACGGAACGTGCAAGTAGTGCGGTGTGGACGCACACTCGCATGTATTTTGGCCTCCACATTCCGTTCCTTGAGTAGCCTGTGCCAATGGTTGTTCGGCAAGCCAGCCGGAAATTCGCACTGGACGCCTGGCCCCGCTGCGAGGGCATCAGCAGAGGGCGCAAGCTCGATGAGGAACGACTCGCCTTCAGGAGCGCCGCGGCGGTTCTCGACCCATCGCAACCCCACAGGCACTGGCGGCATTCGCCACAGCTTCGCGTTGGGCATGAGTTCGGGGCTCTTCCTTGGGTTCGCACCGTGCTTCTGTACGTCTGCGATGGTGTTGGTTGTCCTTGTGATCACATCGCGCAACGCGAGTGGACTACCGAAAGCTAGCGTACCAGTTTCACCGGCTTCGGCTTCGACCAAGGTTGACGGCATCATCTGGTTGCCCCGTACTTCGACATGGTGCTCGTCCCTGCGCAGGCCTCACTTCCAAGGCGCTTCTGCAGCCACTGCGATCACTTCCCGCCAGCCGCCTTCATGGTAACCCGAGCGCGAGTCCATGTATCCCGTCCGCCACTGGGTACAGGACTTGCTCGCCTGGAGCGTGCTGGTCACCGACATGGACAGATCGCCCGGCAACGCGCTGCTGTTATCCGCATACTCGGTGGGGCCGCTCGCGAGTTCACGCGCTCCATGAACTCCGCGGAAAATACGGAGGGAGGCATGGTCAACGGCCAGCAAGAGGATGCCGTCTCCTCCGGGTGGTCGGTGCCACAGCTAGCCAAGTCATAACGGTGCTCCAGCCCTGCGGCAGCCGATGCCCAGCCACGGAGGCCGAATACAACAGTTTCACGATTATGCTCAGGCGCGTTGGTCATATCGTGGAGCATCCACAAAGCAACATCGCCAGCGCTTCTCGTGCGACGGCATCGTTCGGAGGTTTCGTGGGCATGACCAATGACAATTCCAGCGACGCATATGCAACGGACCCCTGGCGCACTCTGGTTCTCGACCCCTGGGCTGCCAACGCCGCCGAGCTTCCGTGTGCAGGAGGTGCCATGACGTGCGCTATTTGGCCCATCGCAGAGCACCGCGCGGGCGCCCGCGGGGCCTCCTCTGACACCGGCTCTGGCCCAGGTTGCCGAGCATCAGAGCTCCAAGGGCTGAGCCCTGCCCAGATAGATGCCCAGTTGTTTTCCAGCAGAGGAAGACTGCAAAACGGCAGAGGCGTAGACGCATGCAACGTCCTACTCGTCAAGCGCATAGGTTCACCAAAAAGAGCAGCGACGTTTCTTTGGACAAGGTGGCGGGGCAGATTCCGAGAAGTGCGCGTGTGTCCTGGAGTTCTCAGACACCCAAGTAGATCCGGCCTTCTTCGGTGGAAGAGGACAGGGTCAAGGCAAACGCTTGAAAGGAAAAAGGAGAGGCAGACGCAGCAATCCGCGAGGCTACGACGGGGCCACCATAGCGCGTGGCACCTGTGGGGGCGAGTGCCACTTCCGCGCTGGATGCCCTCGAGGCACCGCGTTGTCACCGCAGGGCGCTGGCAGCGGCGGACAGTTTGGGGGCTCGCAGATTCGGGGCCCTTAGACGGCGCAATGGACCCTGGCCCCCTCAGGAGTTGCCTTCGTGGTCGCTGGGGGTCTTCCTCAGCTGCGCCCAGGTCGCAACGTCGTGCCGGCGCAGCCATCCGTCGACCGCTCTTGGCAGTTGCCTGGATTTGCCCGCGGTTGGTGGTCAGCAGCCCCGCTCGCCGCGGTCCTGGGCCACGCGTGCGCTGACGTGCCAGTTCTCCTGCCGCCGCCCCAGGTGCTCAAAGTTGCAACCCCGGCTTCAAGACCGCCGCCAAATCCCGTGCTGCCGCCGTTCCCAGGCGCGGCCGCCGCCGCCGCGGAGCCGGCGGCAGCCGCTGGTGGCGTTCGTCCTTCCACCGGCGTCCTTTCGTGGGGCCCCCGCGAAATGGGCCTCGTCGACCGGCAGTGCAGCGCAAGCGCCGCTATCCCGCCGATGGGCCAGGTCGCGATCCCCGGCGATCAGCGGATCACCATCCCTCGCGTCAGTGGTCTCGGCCAACTCGCGCGTCCACGGCAGGGCCAGCTAGCGCAGGCTGCCCTGCCAGACAGACAGCGCCGTGGATTTGAGCACTTAGCAGAAGTGTCGACCGTGGCCATCTGGGCCAATTTCGTGCGCGACCTGGCCCCTACATATCCCTCTGGCTGCCTTCCGTGGCCAGATTGGAGGCGACCGGGGCGCTCGGGTGAAGCTGCGACGTGCGCGCCATCTTGACCGTGCCCGCCAGATGATTAACATGGTCATGGCTGGACCTCCAGCCGTAGCGCCACCGCCGCTGCCGTCGGATCTACGCGCAGAGGCAGAACTCACGGGAGGTGACTTTGACGCCCATACAATGTGCGGCATCCGTTTAGACTTGGCATCAGTTTCCAGCTCCTCGCCCTTTCGGGGAGGAACGGCCCGGTACAGCTCCAAAGCCCCCCGAGATTGTGACATGACGGCCCGAGAGGCTCCCAAGAGAGCCTGAGGACGGCCCAGAAGGGCCCCACGAGGGCCTAAGAGAGCCACGAGACGGCCCGAGGAGGGCCTGGTTGACGCCCAAGATGTTACCAACACGCAGTATTCCGTCGTCATCATCATCATCATCATCATCATCATCATCATCATCATCATCATCAACAGTAGTATCCTAATTTCCATTGTTGTTTTATCGCGCTCTAGTGCCTTCCCAAGATACCAACACGCCCTGGTTCCCCCGTCAACAGGCCTCCTGCAGCTTCGAGATAGCCCTAGAGGGTGCCCGATATGCCACCAAGATGCCCCAAGAGAGCCCCCAGACGGGGAGACAGAGAGAAAGAACGGGCAAGCCAGCGACATCTCGCGCTCTGAAAGTGAATGCGCTTTCCGTCCCCATGCCAAGCAGGTGGCGGAAAGAGCGAGGTACGAGCGAGTGACGTTGAGCAGGGGCGGCGCCCTCTAGGGAGGAGTGCAAAGGAGGGGCGAGGCGCGGGTGAAAAAGTCGAATGGCCCGTTTTCTTCGTATTTTTCCGAGTAGCGGAAAAGAGCGAGGCACGAGTGATGACGTTCTAGTGTGGGGCGAAGCCCTTTAGGGAGGGGTTCCAGGGGAGGGGCGAGGGCTGGGCGCAAAAGTCAAATGTCCGTTTTCGGGTTTTCCCTAGCGTTTTCGCATGTTTTTCGGGTTCCTCCCCAAGACGGCCCAAGAGCGCTCCAAGAGAGCCCAAGACCGCCCAAGACGACCCACGAGGTCTCCCAAACGCCCCAAGAGCCGCCCAAGGGGCGTCCCAAAAGAGCTCCAAGAGGCCAAACTCATTGATTTTCCTTTAGGACAACTTGCATTTTGAGCATACGCGATTTTTCGGCCTCCACGGCGTCGACGACGGCCGAAAAGGCCCCCCAAACCGCCCCAGGACAGCCCAAGAGGTTCCCAAGAGGCCCCCAAAACGGCCCAAGAGAACGCCGAGACGGCCCAAGAGGCGCCCAAGACGGCCCAAGAGAGCCCCAAGACGGCCCCAAGAGGGCGACCACGAACCGAAAAGTCCAGCCTTTCGCCCCAAGACGCTCCCAGGAGGCTCCAAGAGCCGCCCCAAACCGGCCCAAGAGGCTCCCAAGAGGCCCCCAAAACGGCCCAAGAGGGCCCCAAGACGGCCCAAGAGGCGCCCAAGACGGCCCAAGAGAGCCCCAAGACGGCTCCAAGAGGGGGACCACGAGCCGAAAAGTCTAGCCTTTCGCCCCAAGACGCTCCCAGGAGGCTCCAAGAGCCGCCCCAAACCGGCCCAAGAGGCTCCCAAGAGGCCCCCAAAACGGCCCAAGAGGGCCCCAAGACGGCCCAAGAGGCGCCCAAGACGGCCCAAGAGAGCCCCAAGACGGCTCCAAGAGGGGGACCACGAGCCGAAAAGTCTAGCCTTTCGCCCCAAGAAGCTCCCAGGAGGCCCCAAGAACACCCCAAGAAGCCCCAAGAGGCCCCCAAAACGCCCCCCAAAGGCCCCCAAAAGGGCCCCAATAGGACTCCCAAGAAGACCCAGAGACGCCAAATAAAGAACGATCGGTAGGGCAAAAAGCTCTTCACACCAAGGCTCCCAAGAGCGAACGGTGACGTAAACAAGCTGACAAGACCAAGGCTCCCAGCAGAGGGCGGTGACGTAACAAGTTCCTGAGACCAAGGCCCAGCCATGGCTCAGAAACCGGCGGCAACGCAACAATCTCTGAACCCCAAGGCTCCCAAGAGCGAGGGGTGACATAACAAGCTCTCAACGCCAAGGCTCCCGGTACGAACGGTGGTGTGAGTAATTTCGGTTTCTGTTTCTGAAGCGCTCCTTCCGTTTCTGTGCCGGGCCAGGTGAAGTGGCTCCCAGACGGCCCCCATGGCCCATTTATTCGTATTTGGTGAGCCGGCCAGAGGGCCCGAGGACGGCCCACGAGGGCGCCAACAACGGCTTCAGAGGCCCGAAGCCGGCCCCCAGACGGTCCGAGAGAGTCTCGTGACGGCCCCAGAGGCCCTCAAGAGGGCCCCCGAGAGGGCCTCAGGAGGCCAAACACATTGATTTCCCAAAGGTTTTTGAAGGTTTTTCGGGTTCCCCCCTTTTCCGTCCCAGAAGGGCCCCAGACGGCCCAAGAGGCCCCAAAGATCGTCCCAAGACGGCCCCAGAGGCGCCCCAAAGGGGCCCACAGCGGTCCAAAGAAGCCCCCAGACGGGCCCAAGAAGGCCCAAGAGGCTCCAAATATCGTCCCCAGACGGCCGCAGAGGCCCCCCAAAGTGGCCGAAAACGGCCCAAGCGGGCCCCCAGATGGTTCAGATGATCTCCAGACGGTCCAAGAGAGTCCCGAGACGGCTTCAGAGTCTCTCCAGAGGACCTCCGAGAGGGCCTCAGGAGGCCAAAAACATGGATTCCCCGATGTTTTTTTGATATTTTTCGAGTTCTTTCCTTTTCCGTTCCAGAAGGGCCCCAGACGGCCCAAGAGGCCCCAAAGATCGTCCCAAGACGTCCCCAGAGGCGCCCCAAAACGGGCCCAACACAATCCAAAAGGGCCCCCCAGACGGGCCCAAGACGGCCCAAGAGGCCCCAACGATCGTCCCAAGACGGCCCCAGAGGCGCCCCATAGGGACCCCAAGCGGCCGAAGATGGCCCCCAGACGGCCCAAGAGGGCCTCAATACGGCCAAGAGGGCCCCCTGACGGACGCAAGGGAGCCCCTAAGAGGGCCCCGAGATGCCCCCAAGCGGGCCCCAGGAGGAGGGGGAGGAGGAGGAGGAGGAGGAGGAGGAGGAGGAGGAGGAGGAAGAGGAGGAGGAGGAGGAGGAGGAGGACGTGGAGGAGGAGGAGGAGGAGGAGGAATAATAATAATAATAACAATAATAATATTATCAGTAATAATAGTAACAATAATATTACTGATAATAATAACAATACTACTAACAATATTAATATTAATGATAACAACAATAATGATAATGCTAATACTAATAATGATAATAGTACTAATATTAATAATAATATGAACAAGAAGAGTAATAATACTAACAATAATAACAATAAGAAGACGGATCATACTAATACCAAGACGAATAATAATACTAATAATGTTAATACTAACGATGAGGAGAATACTATTAAGAATAATATCAGTAAGAATAATACTGACAATAATAAGATTATTAATAATGACAATGACCATACTAATAACAGTAATAATCAACTTAAAAATCTCAATCCTAATATTAATAATAATAACAGAAATGATAATACGACGAATAGTACTACAAATGGGAATACTATTAATAATACGGATGATACTGCTAATACGAAAACCACTACTAATAGTAATGAGAAGACTACTACTAATCATACTACGAATACTACCAGGAAGAAGTTGCAGACGAAGACGACGAATACTAATAATACTAAGAAGACTGTTAATACTAAGAATAACAAAACAAATACTGATAATACTAATACGAAGAAGAAGACGAAGGGTATTACGAGTAAGCATAATACTAATACCAATAAGAAGAATAAGAAAACTAATACTAGTAATAATTAGAAGAAGAAAAAGAAACATACTATTAAGAATAAGATTAAGAAGCATACTATTAATATTATTAATAAGACTAATACGAATAATAAGAATAATAATAAGGAGAACAATAACAGTAATACTAATAATATTAATAGTCGTACTACTAATAATCATATTAATAGTAATAACAGTAACATAAGAATACTAATACGAAGAAGAATTCCAATACTAATAAGAACAAGAATAAGAAGAAACATAATAAGAGGAGGAGGAGGAGGAACGAGGAACGAGGACGATGCCAAAGGAGGAGGAGGAGGAGAACGATGAGGAGGAGGAACAGGAGGAGGAGGAGGAGGAGGAGGAGGAGGAGGAGGAGGAAGAGGAGGAAGAGGAGGAGGAGGAGGAGGAGGAGGAGGAAGAGGGTCCGTAGCCATTTCGGCTCAAGTACGAAACCGTCGCCCTGCGGCTTCGTGCTTGTCTGCTGCCGAGGGGTTGGCCCGAGGCGTGCTCGCCTGCAGCAGACTTTCTATTCTTCTCGCGCGACCCCCGCGGTGAGCCTTCGAGCGGCCGTGGGTATCTTTGACGCAACCACGGCCCAGGCGGTCTTTTGCGTGTATCCCGTCCTCCGATGGCTTCCACGATGGACGCTGTGGAGCGCCGCCGTGCGCTCGAGGACATCGAGATCGCTTCCACCTTCCCTTCGCAGGAACGCCAGAAGGTCAGGGGCAGCACGCGCTCACGTGAACGTGCCCGTCGGGCACGCGCGACGCAGGCTGCCATGGGTGAGGATGAAGGCTTCCATTCGACCGATGGGAGTACCATGGCTGCTCAGTCTGATCGTAGGGGAAATGATGGTGCTGCTGGCGCGGATCGTGCTGATCTCCGAGCCTATGTCGACTCAACCAAGTCCGAGTTGCTGGCTGCCGTCGCCCATATGCAGGAAACCATCACGAGTTTGGCATCCACGGTGCACACCTCGTGCGGGGGCCTGGCCAAGCAGGTGGAGAAGAGACCCGGGCACATGGAGCAGGTGGGTCAGCGTCACGCACTTCGGCTGGAGGAGCATGACAAAGTGATCGACCACCTGGAGAAGCAGCTGCAGTTCCTTCTCAATCAGAAACCTGGTGTCCGCCCTGCCAATCCTGCACGCTCGAGGCCCCCCGATTCCGCCATCGTGCTGGCAAGGGCCGCGACCATGGTGGCCGCCGCGGAGGTCAATAATGCCATCGCACTTTGGCTCGAGAGGGCCTACCTTGAGGCTGAGGACTGGAAGGTCGATTCTGCCCCGCGGACAAGAAGTTCACTTTTCGTTTTGCAGGTGCGCCGCAGATTGCGGCTAGGCGTGTCCAACAGGCGCTGGGTGCTCTCAAGACGGGTCCGAGGACATGGGGACGTTTCGCGGTCGCGGACACCCATGGCCATCGCCAGGAGCTGCGCGTGGCGGAGGACAATTCGCCGCAACGGATCCAGAATGAGCTCGCTCTCAAGCGGGCCAAGCGCGCTCTGGAAGGGCGCTTTCCTGAGCGACGTTTCTTCATCGATGGGGCCTGCGGAGAGCTGTCGGCGCAGCGGGCCCCGTTCTGCCGGGTCGCTCCGCTCGAGGACGGCCCCGCCAAGACCCAGTGGGGCGTCGGTGCCTTCGCCGAGCTCGACCTGGACAGGGCGGAGGTGGATCCACTGGTCATGCAAGCGGTCGCTGGCAGAGAGGCGACGCCAGTGTGGGGTCTTTAGCGCGGCCTTGCAGTTCTGGAAGTCCAGCGTCGGGGGCAGCCGCCCGCTTGCGCTGGGCTCGTGGGGCGTTCCTTTTTTCCATCAGGACCTTCCTCGTGGATCTCGCAGGCTTAATTATTTCGGCTGCCCTGTTGGTGCCCGGGTCACTCGTTGGAGTGCAAGAGGGGGGGGGGGGGGGGCGATGCGTGAGCTGCGTGATTTTCTACATCGCCTCCGCAAGCCGATGGAGGCTATTTCCTCTGTCTGCCCGCCCTCTGACGCCGATGGGGGGTCTGCGCCAGGTTTCGAGGCGCGCGGGCAATCAGAAGGTAGTAGCTCGCAGCGTCGGGCGAAACGTGGAGTCATCACGTTCTTCCCCGATTTTGGCCATCCCCCCGGATCCTCCGCGCATTGAGTGCGAGGCCATCGTTGAGGGGGGGTCTTGAGGCTCAGCATCCAGTTCTAAGTGTTCACTATGGTACATTCCAATATCCACAACTTCGGGGTCGCTCCAGAGGATCGGGCGGCAGTTCGAGATAGGATTCGAGAAGATGTTAGGGAGTCCAGTCTGGCCCCCATGAAGCGCATCATTGCTGTCGCAGGTGGTTTCAACATTGCTGGGGGCCCTCCCGTTCCCGAATCCGTTTTCTCCATGGGGCTTTTCCGACGAACTGTTTCGAGAGCGCGTGGGGCTTATTCAAGGGTGGCGTCCGAACCCTGGGGCGGACTGAGCGGCCATCGCTAGTGACCTCATCGAGTTCGAAGCGCGCGAGCCGACGCACTTCTGCCGGTCCGAGCGCTCGGTCTCCACCGTCGACCGCATTTTCAGCTCCCTGCCTGGCTGGGCGCTGACGAACCTCGCGTGTGGTGCTCGCGTGGTAGGCAGCCCAGAGGTGAATCACCGTGCGAGGCTCTCGGATCACTCTGCGATTCTGGTGAGGCATAGAGAAATACGTGCTCGTCCAAAAATTTACGAGAGCAGAGTGCACGTCATTCATCCAGTCTGTTTTCGACCAGGTGGACGCGGGCCACCTCGGTCTGCCCATGAAGCATGAGTTCCACAGGGAAGTAATGGGAGAGGCCGCTCGTTTCGCTCGAGACGCTATGATCATTCGATCGCCGTCGCAGATTTTCACAAGATGGATGATTGCCAAGTCGATCGGTTGTTGCCATATGGCGACAAGATGCTCGCCTCGCTCGTCGCCTTCAGAATGCCCGCGAACTCGGTCGCCGTCACCTCGAGATCGACCCGTTGACTCAGAAGGTTATCCTTGTGGAACTGGAGGCGTTTTTCGGCTCTCACCAACGAGCTAAACTTGAGCTTGAACTTGTCTGCCCAGGCCCGTCTCACCGCCCAGCTTCGCCAATCCGAGCACCAAATGCGTGCCAAATTCAAACGACGCGTCCGAGGGCTCGAACGCCGCGGGAAGCTTTGGGATCCGATTGACCGACAACTTTGTCTCCAGGGACTGAAGATACAGGGCGACGCGAAGAGGGGCCCCCGGGATGCGTCAGACGGATTGGCGCAGGAGTGGGCGCCCGTATTTTGAGCCAAGGAGATAGATTTGGCCGCTGCCGAGCAGCGCCTCTCGCGATTTGCGGCACCAGCTGATCTGCTCGACCTGCCGCGGCCCGACGCCCGCGTGATTCGCCGCGAGCTCGACCATGCGCTGGCTCGTGCTGCAGGCCCCACGGTTTACACTACCAGGCATGGAGATATCGCCCGTTCGGCGAAATCGCTTTTGAGGAAGCACTCCGTTGGTGCCTGGCAGGTCTCCCGATGCTATGCGGATAACGATTTGAGAGGAGTGTGGATCCCGAAGGGCCCAGAGGCCGACGAGGATGGGATCATCGCTTGTGAGGCCCTTCGGAAGCGCCCGGTAGGATTGAACAACTGCGATGTTAAAGTTTTAGCCGCGGTGTGTATTTTGGGGCTTTCCCGTGGGCTGCCAGAGTATATTGATCCCGGCCAGGGAGGGGTTGCCCCAGGGCGAAGCTGCGGTATGAATGTGTTGGAGCAGGACACTGCCTCCAGGATAACTGGTTTGAAACCTTGGGCCGGGATCCGCAGGCCGCTGCTGACCACGTTTGATTTAGGCCAAACCTTTCCCTCGGTCTCCCAGGAGTGGATCTTGCTTTCTCTCTCGTCCTTGAGATTTGCCTCCTCCCCTTGTACGCCTGGTCTCGTTCGCGAGTCGATTTCTTCTTGTGGTCGCATCGGGGATGCTGCAGGGTTGCCCAGCGTCGGGGCCCTTTACTCGATCGCGTCACGCCCATTCATGCAACATTTTCGGTCCCTGATAATGTCTCCAGGCCGAGGAGGTCAAAGCCTGTGCTGATGATGTAGGAGCATGCGTTTCGGAGATCACGGTTCTTCGACTTCTGGTGGTGGTGTTCCGAGCGGCTAGGCGCGTCGCCTCTCTGTGCTTGGAGTGTAAAAAGTGTTGTCTGGTGCCACTTTGCCCCGCGCCCGCCCGAAGTGGTTGCAGACATTCGTTCGCGGTTGTGTGCCGAGCCCCCCGAGTGGAAGGGGTTTCGTATTAGCCAGTCAGTGAAGTACCTGGGTGCGGTGATTGGTCCGTCGTCGTCAGAGCATTCGCGGGTCGCCCGCGTCTTGGAACGCTGCGCCCGGACTTCCGTTATCGCTGCCGCGCGTGCCCCACAGGCAGTCTCAGCGCGAGTGTGCAATTTGCGCGCTGCCGCGGTCCTTTCGTACATCTCCCAACATGTCTTGCTCCCCGCCCCTCTTCGCTCGTGCCGAAAATGCGCGCCTCGCCCGCGTCCTCTCCATCCTTCATTGCTCCCTCGCGCGTAGTGGCTGCTTCGATATCGATTCGTGTGCGTGTGTGTGTGTGTGTGTGTGCGTGTGTGTGTGTGTGTGTGTGTGTGTGTGTGTGCGTGTGTGTGGGGCGCCGCTCACCAGTTGTCTCGTAGTCAATCTCGCATCTCTCGTGCGACGTGCTCTTCGCGCGTTCGCTTCCTGGCCGCGGTTGTACGATGCGCTTTATGATGAAGTTTTGCTGGCGTTCCCACTAGTCAAAGTCCTTGGAGGGCAGCTCTCACCTGACTTTTGGGACGCGCCACCGATGGTGGCCATTCGGAAAGAAGCGGCGCGTGGATTTTCCGAGCTCCCCTGCGCGGGTGGCTGGCGGCCGTCGGGCGTTGGAAGAGTGCGCGAAGAACCTGGGCGACCCCCGACCCAAGCTGCGGCGAACCGTTGCCCGCGAGCTGAAGGTTCACATCTTTCCTGTGCGTTTGCACAGAACGTTCCAGTCGAGGCTCTTGAGCGGGTTCCCAGAGAGTCGCAGAGCGCCCCAAGATAACCCAAGACGTCCCAAGAGGCCTCCAAGACGCCCCAAGAGGCGCCCAAATGGCGTCCCAAGAGGGCCCCAAGAGGCCAACAACATTGATTTTCCAACAGAAAACGTGCATTTTGAGCGTGCGCGACTCTTCGGCCTCTACGGCGTGGACGACGGCCCCAAAGGCCTCCCAAGAAGCCTCAAGAGGCCCCCAAGAGGCGCCGCCACCAAGAGGCCAAACACATAGATTTCCGATGGAAAAACTGTATGTTTTTAACATGCACGGCTTTTCGGCTTTCACTGCGTTGACGACGCTCCAAGAGGCCTCCAAAACCGCCCCAAGACTGCCCAAGAGGCTCCCAAGAGGCCCCCCAAACGGCCCAAGAGAACCCCAAGACGGCCCAAGAGAGCCCCAAGACGGCCCAAGTGGCGCCCAAAACGGCCCAAGAGGGCCCCAAGAGGGGGACCACGAACCGAAGAGTCTAACTTTTCGCCCTAAGAAGCTCCCAGGAGGCCCCCAGAGCCCCCCAAGAAACCCCAAGGGGCCCCCAATAGGTTCCCAAGACGCTTCCACAAGGGCTCCAAAAGGGCCCCAATAGGACCCCCAAGAAGGCCCAGAGACGCCAAATAGAGAGCGATCGGTAACGCAAAAAACTTTTCACACCAAGGTTCCCAAGAGCGAGCGGTGACGTAAACAAGCTGATAAGACCAAGGCTCCCAGCAGAGAGGTGACGTAACAAGTTCCTGACACCAAGGCCCAGCTAAGGCTCAGGAACGGGCGGCAACGCAACAATCTCTGAACAAGGCTCCCAAGAACGAGGTGTGACGTAACAAGCTCTCAACGCCAAGGCTCCCGGAACGAACGGTGGTGTGAGTAATTTGGTTTTTGTTTCTCCAGCGCTCTTTCCGTTTCCGTGCCGGGCCAGGTAACGGAAAGAGCGAGGTACGAGTGATGACGTTGTGTTTTGGGCGAAGCCCCTGAAATGGGGTTCCAGGGGGGGGCGTACGGGGAGTGGATGGGTTCAGTGGCCTTCGGCTCATCCCGCCACCGTGCCTGGGTTGTGAGCCGGAGGCCTCTGGAGTGCTTGTTGAACTCGTGGTAGGTCTCAGGGAGGCCTCTTCGAAGCAGTTTTAAAGCCACTTGGGAGCCTTTTGGGGCCTCTGGGTGCCTGTTTGGGGTCTTCTGGGGACCTCTTGGGGACCTCTTGGGGGCCTCTTGGGGCGTCCTGGATGCGTGTTGGATACGAGGGCCCGAAATTTGGTTCGGGTCCCCGTCTGGGCTTTTTTTTTCAGCCGTCTCAAGGGCTTGTGGACCGTCTTGGAGGTCTCTGGGGCCGTCTTCGGGCCGTCTTGGGCCGTCATGGGGCCTTTTGGGGGCCTCTTGAGGCGACGTCTTTGGCTGTCTTGGAGGGTCAGAAAACCGAAAAACGAGCGTCGTCGTCGTCGTGTTCGTCGTCGTCTTCTTGATCGTCTTGGTCGTCTTGGTCGTCGTGTTCGTCGTCGTCTTCGTCGTCATCGTCGTCATTGTCGTCGTCTTGGTCGTCTTGGTCGTCGTCGTCTTCGTCGGCGTCGGCGGTGGCGGCTTGGTCGTCGTCGTCGTCGTCGTCATCGTCGTCGGCCGCGCCAGAGAAGACGGGGGAAATTCCGTACAAAAGGTTAGTCTTGTACGTACTTTCCCCCCGCGCCTTTGCATGTGGATCTACATGTATTTTTTTAGCTGCGCTTTGTCGCATCGGGGCCTGTCCTCAGATAGTAAATGCGTGTAACTACATGTAATTACGTGTAACTGCGTGTAACCGCGCGTAAGTGAGTGTAACTGCGTGTAACTAGGTTTAACTAGGTGTAACCGCGTGTAACTAGGTGTCTCTAGGTGCAGCTAGGTGCAACTAGGTGTCGCTAGGTGTAACTAAATGCAACTTCGTGTAACTAGGTGCAACTAAGTGTAACTCGGTGTAACTAGGTCTAACTAGGTGTAACTCGGTGTAGCCTTGGTCGCCGTTGGCGCTCAATGCGCGACGCTACTTGCCGGCACACTGGTAATTCCCATCCGGCCGCGCGACGGGCCACACTAACACCCAACGGGCCACGCTAACACGCAACGCGCCTCAGTAACAACCGATCGCCCACCTAACACCCCCCCTCCAGAAATCCGGGGGGAGTCATTACCTGTTCGAACCCTCCCCCCCCCTCCACAAAACTGGGGAGGGTCACTACCGGTTCGAGCCCCCCCCTTCCCTCCAGAAAACTGGGGGGGTCAGAACCGGTTCGAACCCCCCCGCCCCCGCCTCCCGAAAACTGGGGGGGGGTCACTCCTGGTTCGAAGTTTCCCCCCCCTCCAGAAAACCGGGGGGGGAGTCACTACCGGTTCAACCTCCGTTCCTCCCCCTCCAGAAAGGCTGGGGGGGTCACCGCTGTTTCGAAGCCCCCCCCCTCCAGAAAACCGGGTGGGTCACTACCCGTTCGAAGCCTCCCCCTTGAGCTGTCCCACTGTTCACCCCGCCGCTGTCACATTGAGCTGTCCCACTGTGCCCACCACTGTCCCCACGATCCCCATACCACTGTCCCCATACCACTGTCCCCACCACCACCGTCCCCACCACACTTCCACCGCCCCCACAACTGTCCCACTGCCCCCTCTGTTCTCACCATTGTCCCCGCTGTGCCCAGCAGTGCCCCCACCAGTGTCTTACTGTCCCCACTGTCCCCACCATTGTCCCACCACGGTCCCACTCTCCCCATTGTCCCCACTGTCCCCACCAGTGTCCCACTCCCATTGTTCCCACCACTATCCCACTGTCCCCACTGTCCCCGCCGCTGCCCCACTGTGCTGTCCCAGTCCCCACCACTGTCATACTGTCCCCACTGTCTCCACCACCGTCCCCACTGTACCACTGTCCCACCACCGTCCTCACCACCGCCTTCACCAATGACCTCACCACTACCGCCCCCACCACCATCCCACTGTCCCCACTGTCCCCACCACTGTCCCGCTGTCCCCTCACCACTGTCCCCACCACCACCGTCCCCACCACTGCCCCCACGACTGCCCCACTGTCTCCACACCACTGTCCCCACCACCACCGTCCTCACCATTGTACCAGTGTCCCCACCAGTGTCCCACTGTCCCCACACTACTGTCCCCACCACCACCGTCCTCACCACTGTCCCAGTGTTCCCACCACTGTCCCATTGTCCCGAGGAGCGGGAATCGTTTGCCGGTGGCGAGGGGGAGGGGGTTCGAACGGGTAGTGACAGCCCCCTTTTTCATGATGCACGGGGGGGGGGGTCGAACCGGTAGTGACCCTTCCCCGTTTTTCTGGGGGGGGGTACGGGTTGGGAACCCCCAGTGATTCCCCCCGGTTTTCCGCCAGCAGCGGTAGAACACGTTCTTTCCGTGTTTATTATTTAGCTTTCCTGGGTTCATGACGCCACCACCGCAGATCAGTCACAGTTGCAACCCTTGTGTGAGGCCGCCACAGAAGGACACCTCTTGCACAGATTGCTACAAACAGATCCTAGTTGTGTCGGCCACTGCAGATCCCCCACAATTCAAATCCTGTTGCTAGGTCGGCGCACAAGGAATCCTGTTGTAAAGGCTGTTGCAAAAGGATTTGAAGTGTGGATGCCACTGCAGGTCCCAACACTTTGAGTTCTTCTGTACGGTCACCACAAAAATAACGCCTCATGTAAAAGGCTACTACAACAGGATTCTCATTGTGGTGCATCTGCACCTTCATAAAAGCGGCAGTCCGACATTCCAAGTTGTTTTGTAGTTTTTTCTTTGTTTTCCATCCAGGATCACTTGTTTTTACATGTTCCGCATTTTTGTTTGTTCATGTATTCCTCTGTAGCCTTCCTGGGTTCAAGGCGTTACCACTGCAGATCCCCTGCACTTTAGTCCTTGTTTTAATGCCGCCACAACACGAACCCTTCTGTACAGGCTGCTGCAAAAGGTTCCGAGTTGTGGAGGTCATTGCAGGTCCCCCACACTGAGAATCCTGCCGTAAGGTCGCCGCAACAGGAACCCTTTAGTAAAGGCTGCTGCGAAAGGATTTCAAATGAAGGCCACTGTACGTCCCCAGCGATTCAAGTTCATTTGTAAGATCGCCACCCAACACACCCTTCTTCTCAAGGCTGTTACACAAGGATCTGTTGTGTGGCGCATCTGAACCATCACTTTCTCCTCATGTTTTGCATATTTTTTGTTTTCATCTTTAGCTTTCCCGGGTTCATGGTGTCACCACTGCAGAGCTCCCACCATTGACACCCTTCTGAAAGTCAGCCACACACATAATTCTGTGTACAGGCTGCCACACAAGGATTCTAAGTGTGAGGGTTATTGCAGATCCCCCACGCTCAAATTCCTGTTTTAAGGTCGCTACAAAAGGAGTCCCTGTGTAAAGGCTGCTGCGAGAGGATTTCGATAGTGGGGCAGATAGTTAAAACGAGGCCGACGATGACCAGGAGGAGGAGGAAGAGGAGGAGGCGGAGGAGGAATGATGAGGGAGGAATGCGATGAGGGATCGCAGCGAAAAAGAAAGAAGACGATGAACAAGTATGAGGAGTAGCCTGGTGATCCGTAGCGTTCCAATCACCGAGAAGTCCATACAACAAAAGCTTTCATGCAATCATGCAAACAGCGGGTCGCATGGGGCGTCCCCTGTCAAAGTGCAGAACCTTGCAGAGCAGCACCTGGCACTCCAGCACTCCTCCTTGTGCCATGGGGGCACTGTGGGGGATCCCTGCTGCCACCCCCCCCTGGAGGAGCGCAGGAGCTGGACGTGGAGTCCCAGGACCCCGCCGCCCCGCTCCGAAACGCGCGCGGGCCCCGCGGCGGCGAGGAAGACGGCACGGGAGGCAGGGGAGGCTTGGAGGACCTCCTCCTTCTCCTCCTCCTCCTTTTCCTCCTCCTCCTTTTCCTCCTCCTCCCTCCTCCCTCCTCCCTCCTCCTCCCTCCTCCTCCTCCCTCCTCCTCCCTCCTCCTCCCTCCTCCTCCCTCCTCCTCCCTCGAATCGGGCCGGGAGAGAGCCCGACGGGGAGGGCCGACGGCGCCGCCGCCGCCGCCGGGCGACGGCCGCGGCGAGGCGGCAGGCCGAGCGCCTCGCCCTGCCCGGGGCGCGGCGGCGCTCCCCCGGGGGGGGCAGAGGGGGGGCCCGCGGGCGGCGCGGCGGCCGGGCCTCGGGCAGTGTTCGGTCATGCAGGAGGGGGGGCAGAGGCACACAGGCCCAAGGAGTCGTCGACTGCCCAGGAGATGTGGGGAAGTCTGGGAGGTGGGGGGGAAGGCAGAAGCCCAGAAAATATGGGGACATCTGGAGAACCTTGTGAGTTGTGTCTACTTCTTTGTGTGTCCCAGTTCCCCTTCCTATGAATCGGGGGTGGATAGGACCCCCATCCTGACACGTCCATTAACGAATTGTCAGTTTTCGGTTCTCGAGAGTGCGGAGAGAACCCCCACTCTGACACGTCGATTCGTGAATTGTCCGTTTTCGGTTCTCGGGAGGGCGACGCGGCCGTCATCTTCCAGGCTTGCGTCCGCCAGGTTTGGGCCCGAGGTCGATTTCACTACGCCACGTTTTGCTAAAGGGGGTTCTGTCTTTCCCCAAGTTTAGCTTTCACTCTCGAAGAATAGTTGATGTTGGCCAAAGACGGAGAGGGCGGGTATCGAGGCTTGGGATTTGGGTGTTGAATGGCACGCGAGCAGAGAAAGGCGAACAGTCTCAAATTATGGTTGTTATTGTCATTGTCATTGTCATTGTCATTGTCATTGTCATTGTAATTGTTGTTGTTGTTGTTGTTGTTGTTGTTGTTGTTGTTGTTGTTGTTGTTGTTGTTGTTGTTGTTGTTGTTGAACATTATTTATTCTAAAGAATAATTATTGTTGGGCCCCCTGGTGCGCGCCCCCCCTGCGCCGCCTAGGCCGCAGCTACATTTTCATCATTTTCGTGAGGAAGCCTCAGAAAAGAGGGTGTGTACAGGATCCGGTTGTTTTGTTGTAATCCGCTTTCCCTTGCAAAAAACAATAGAAAATGACATTTCTTGTTCTAATATAATCAAATTTCAAGAATCCCTTGCAAAAAATAAGGTAAAGTGGACATTCGCGCGCGCAAGACGAAATCCTTCCAAAACCTTAGTGTTCGCAGCGATTTTAACATAAAAACATCAAAAAACCAATGGTTTTTCAACAAAAAAATGTCAAAATCTCATCCCGCGCGCTCTTGCGGATTCGTAGGAAACCCAACACTTTTTAAACATTTCTGTCAAACGGGCTTTTGCGAGCAACTTTTTCGAACTTCTGCGACAACGGTTGCGCACCTGCCAGGGCCATCATCCCTGTCAAATAATACCATGCGGGACACATTCGTTTTTTCTTCGCGCGCGCACGCCGAAATCTCCAAAAACCATTGGGCTTCTTAAGAATTTTAGCAAGTCATCTCAAGCACAACAACCATCAGGACAATCATCGGGACAACGATCGGGACAACCACAACCATCAGGACAACCATCGGGACAACCATCGAGACAACCATCGGGACAACCATATCCTCTCTCTCTTGTGTATTCCCACATCCCTCAGGAATTTGCCCTAAAGATGTGATCAACTATCTTGTGAGTACGTATCATGTGTATCATGTGTATCATGTACCATATGCATCATATGCAACAGATGTTCTGTGGAAGGCTTAACAACTTCTGTGGGTTAACAAGGCTTAACAACTTCTGTGGGTGTACGAACGTAGGCTTAACAACTTCTGTGGGTGTGTACTCCACGCCAGTGTAGTAGCCACGGTCGTCCGCAGGCCACGAAGTGAAGTGTCCGAACGTCATAGGGCGGGAAGCTGGGTGTGGGTGGTGGCGAAGAGTCGTGTGGATATTTGGTAGAGCTTGCACTGCCCCCCCACAAAGTGGGGGTATTGGCTGGCGTCGCATGAAAACCCTGGCACTGGTGAGAACACTGAGCGTTCGGGTAAACTGATTGTTGTTGTTGTTGTTGTTGTTGAACTTTCATTTCTGAAGAATAATTATTGTTGATCCCCCCCGTCCGGTGCACATTTTTTTTTTTCGATTGAAGTGCCCTTCCTGGGGCTCGCACCTAGTTTTTTATCAGGGACAGTATTGAGGGTCAAACTGCCTTGTTGGCCCCCGGTTTACAACAACAACGGCTCCCGCTGGATACTTCCTCACAATGTTTGAAGAATCGCGCTCTCGCTTTGGACTTCCTTGCAATTTACCACCGGATCGCGGCTCCCGCTTGATACTTCCTCACAATGTATTGAAGAATCGCGCTCTCGCTTGGGACTTCCTTGAAACTTACCACCGGATCGCGGCTCCCGCTTGATATTTCTTCACAATTTATTCAGATGCCGCTCCTCGACACTCAGGAATCGCGCTCCCGCTACGTATTGCCTGGCGGTTCAAGCAGAATTTACGCTTCAACGACCCGCCCGCTCGACCCGCCCGTCTGGGCCTGCCCGCCCGACCAGCCCGTTAGGGACTGCGGTCGCCGCTCGCTGCCCTTCGCCCGCCTTCGATGCCCCTCGCTGCCCGTGCTGGTTCCGCGGTCGCCTTCGCTCGCTGCCCTTCGTGGCCCCGTTGCTGCCCTCAGTGGCCCCGTCGCTGCGCCCATTAGGGCCCCGCATTATATGCCCTTCGTGGCCCCCGCTCGCAGTCGCCCGTCGTGGCCCCATACGCATGCCCTTCGTAGCCCCGCTGTCGCCCTTCGTGGCCCTCTCGCTGCCCTTCGTGGCCCCCTCCCTCCCTCCCTCCCTCCCTCCCTCCCTCCCTCCCCTTATCGTCGTTGTCGTCGTCGTCGTCGTGCCTGGCCGCCCCCCTTGGGGCCCGCCTGCCGCCTGGAGCCCGGCACTCCGACCCTTCAGCCAGCCAGGCGTATAATCCGTTCGACTGCCTCGCCGCCTGCCGAGGGCCAGCCTGTCGGCCCGTCAGCCCCCACCCTCCTCCCTCTCCTCCTTCCCTTCCTCCCTCCTTCCCTCCTTCCCTCCCTTCCTTCCTCCTCCTCCTCCTTCTCCTCCCTCCTCTTCCTCCTCCTTCCTCCTCTCGTCGTGGTCGTCGTCGTCGTGGTGCGCCCGCTGTCTGTCCATCTTGGGTTCGGGTTGCCGCGGGTCGGTGTGTGCATCGCCAGCGTTGCCACTGGCCCGGCCGACGGTCCGCCGCTTGCCAGGGCCCGGTTTGCCGGCCTTTGAGACGCGCGTGTTCCACTGGCCCAGGTTCTTCTACAGGCTTCGAATGAAGGCCTCCCTCGACGAGGCCCCCGGGGCGTTCCCGCAGGTTTTCGAAGCTTCTGAAACTGCTCGGTGGTCATCGGGGCCATTCCGAGGTCCGCCAGAGGTCACGGGAGGCTTTCGGGTGCCTTCCAATCCCCCCGCGTTTGGTGTCCGTGCCAGTCTCCGCTCGCATCCACCTGCTCCCACTTTGCAGCGTTTATATATATATATATATGTATATATATTATTATTATTATCATTGTTGTTATTATTATTATTTCTTTCCCCAGTCTTCTCCACTCTTTCCCGTTATCTTCATTTTCATCTCGTTCGTACTCCATTGTGCTATTCCTTAGTTCTTCACATTCCGCCCACTACTCCCCGGGCCACCCCGTCCCGCCTTAACAATCTCCACCCGTTCCCGCTCTCATTCCGCATTTCTCCCAAATTATTCCCAGTCCTTCCTCCAGATTCCTCCGTGCGCCCCCCGCTCCTCCGCGCTCCTCCCGGTTCTCTTGTCCACTCCATCCCAATCCACTCCGCGTCCCCCCGCTCCTTCCGACGCGGTTGCAGTTCTCGCTATCATTCCGCCCCGCTCTCCCAACGTCCCGCATCTTTTCAGGGTTCCGCGAAATTTGTTTTTGACGCCAGTTCGCAGCTGTGCGCCCCCCCGCGGGGGTATCCACGATGTGTTGTTTCAATGGGGTGGTGCGTGGCGCTGTTTATGGCGCGACCCGTGGCGAAACTTATCCTTGACCTGTGTTGGAGTGGTTGGTGCAAGCCTTGGCGCGAGCTGAATCGCCACTCGCAGCGCAAATCGTCGCCCCTTCTCCCTTCCCTTGCTCCGATCCCTTCGCCTTCATTCTCCCCCGTTATCCGATGCCCTTCGTTTTCAAGGGCTTCGCCAACCGCGCGCGGCAGGGAATGAATATCCCTCCCGAAAGGGGGTGCGGTCGAAGACGGAGAGGGCGGGTGTCCATGGTTTTGGATATGCATATTGAACGGCGTGCGAGCAGATACGAGCGAACAGTCTTAATTTGGTGGTTGTCATTGTTGTTCTTGTCCGCGTCGTCGTCGTTGTCGTCGTCGTTGTCGTCGTCGTTGAGTTTTCATGTGCGAATAATACTTATAGTTGATCCCCCCTTCCGATGACATTATATATATATATATATAATTACAGTGCCCCTCCTGGGGCTCGCGCCCGGTTTTCCTGTCAGGGTCTCGGCGCTCATGAATCACGCTTTCGCTTGAGGGTTTCTCACGATTTACTTGGGAATCGCGCTATCGCTCGAGACTTCCATGCGATCCATGCAGGACCCACGCTTCAGCAACCCGCCTGCTCGACCTGGTCGCCTGGGCCCGCCTTCCCGACCTGCCCGCTATGGGTCTGCCCGCCCGATCTGCCCGTCTGGTTATACCATGTGCTTTCTGCTCCTTGCCCCTCTTTTGCTCGTTTCTCTAGTGTTCCATCCTCCCCCCTCCCCTTTACACCCGTCCTCCCCTCCCCTGTTTTAGGGGCTGCGCTACATGCGCGTGGCAGGGAAGGAAGATGTATTCTCAAAGTGGTACGATCG